TGGACGATGGCCAGCACCGTCTTCTCAATGGGGGAGTACCTGAGCTCGGCCTCCCTGAGCGTCTTGCTGATGTAGAAGATGGCCTTCTACACCCCTTCGTCCTCACGGATGAGCACGGAGCTGATGGCCGACGTGCTCACCCCTAAGTACAGGAAGAGGGTTTCGCCGGCTTTGGGCTTGGAGAGTACGGGTGGGGACGACAGGTACCTTTTCAATTCGTCGAATGCTTCCTGGCACTCCGTCGTCCACTTGAAGTTGTTCGCCTTGCGCATGATTTGGAAGAAGGGGAGTGCCCTCTCGGCTGACCTGGAGAGGAACCGGTTTAGGGCCGCCAGGCGCCCCGTCAGTCGCTGTACCTCCTTGACGTTGCGGGGTGGCTCCATGTTGATGATAGCCTGCGTCTTCTCCGGGTTTATCTCGATGCCTCTCCGGCTGACCATGTAGCCAAGGAACTTGCCGCCCTGGACGCCGAAGGCGCACTTCTTAGGGTTAAGGCGGAGCCTGAACTCCTTCATGATTTCAAAGATTTCTCGGAGGTCGTCGGCGTGGGAGGTGGCCGCACTGCTCTTGACGATCATGTCGTCGACGTACGCCTCCATCGTCCGGCCAAGGACCGCTCTGAAGATTTTGGCCACCATCCTAGTATAGGTGGCGCCGGAGTTTTGAGTCCGAAGGCCATGACGAGGTAGCAAAATATTCCCTCTGGGGTCATGAATGTTGTCTTCTCGGCGTCATCTTCGTGCATGGAGATCTGGTGGTACCCTCTGAAAGCGTCGAGGAACGACATCAACTCGCACCCCGCCGTCTCGTCCAACAACTGATCAATGTTGGGGAGAGGGAATGGGTCCATGGGGCACGCCTTGTTCAGGTCAGTGTAGTCAACACACATTCTGAACGTCGGTGGTTTCTGTGCAAGGACGACGTTGGCCAGCCATGTTGGGTACTTCACCTCTTTGATATGTTTGATCGATAGGAGCATGGCGACCTCCCCTTTGATGAAGTCCCGCCTGTCAGCGGACAAGTAGCGCCGCTTCTGTTTGACGGGCGTGGATGCCGGATCGACGGTCAGCCGGTGAGTGATCACCTGGCGGCTGATGCCGGGCATATCGTCTGGGCCCCATGCAAAGACAACGGCGTATGACTGTAGGACGAGGAGGATGGCGTCTCGTTGGTCCTGGGGGAGTTGCTTTCCGACCCTGAGAACCCGCTCCGGCCGGGAGGTATCCAGAGGGACTTCCTCGACCTCCTCGGCCGGCTCCGCATGTGGCCTCTCCTCGTCCGTGGCGACGGCAGCCGTAATGGTGTCTATCCGCTGTCCTTCCCTTTCGGACGGCCTCGTCAGCTTGAGGTAGCAAGCTCTGGCTATCCTCTGATTTCCTCTGGCGTAGCCGATGCCGTCATTGGTGGGGAACTTTAAGCATAGGTGCTTCATGGAGATGATGGCCTCCAAGTCCTCCAGCGCCGGCCGGCCCAAGATCAGGTTGTGGGCGCACTGGAGGTTGACCACCATGAATTCCATGTCAATTCTGGCATGGTGGGGGCCGTCACTGACTTCCACGGGGAGGACTATCGTGCCCTCGGCGTCGATAGAGTCCCCGGTGAAGCCGGATAACGGGGTCTTGATCGGCTTCAGCAGAGCTCTGTCCAGCTTCAGCTGCTTGAAGGTGTCTAGGTACATCACGTTGACGGAGCTCCCCGTATCGATGTAAGTACGGTGGATGATGGAGTCACCGATCTCACATCGGATGACGAGGGCGTCCCTGTGTGACTCCGTACCCGGAGGCAGATCCTTGTCGGTGAAGGTGATCACCTCCGTTCGCTGCTTCTTTGGCTGGGGGGGAACGTGGGACATCTCTCCAATGTAAAGGGATTGGGCCCATTTCTTCCTCTGAGTGGCGGAGTCCCCCCCAGTGTTCCCGCCTACGATGAGGTGGATGTGATTCTTCTTCGGCGGAGGCCCCTCGAAGTCCTCGTCGTCGCTGAGCCTACCAATCTCGCGCTTCTTCGCAGAGGGTTCGCCCCCACGTTTGCCGGTGTTTACCCAAGTGTTTTTACGTGGGCCACCTTTGACAAACTGGGAGAGTTCCCCCTGGCGAATGAGACGCTCGATGGCCTTCTTCAATGTGATGGAATCGTCGGTGTTGTGCGACGAGTTCTTGTGGAACCGGCAGTACGTGCCGCCCTGCTGGATGGCCAGGATTTCCTCGGCCGGCCGAGGAGCCTGCTCGATGAGGCCGTGCTTCTCGGCATAATCGAGGATGGTGCCGACCGGGTGGCTGAGGGCTACCCCCGGCCGTTCCAGCCTCGGCCGCCAGTGGCGGTCTTTCTTACTTTGTCCACCAGAGCCGTGGCGGCCCTGGGCACCCTGGCCGGCCGGGGACGGACCCGAGGCCGGCGAAGGATTTGTCTTCTTGGGGGGATGGCCCCCCTCTCTCTTGTGATTGTGGAGCTCGTCGGCGTCGGCATACAAGCCTCCGCGTTGGAGCGCCTTGGCGTACGACCTCGAGGGGGTCAGTGATGAGGCTCCTGGCGTACGGGGAGCTGCGGAGGGCTCCCTGGTACAAGGAGAGGAGGGTGCGCTCATCGGCCCCCTCGACCTCCTCGGTCTCCCTCGTCCACCGGTCGATGAATGACCGGAGGGACTCCTCGTGCTGCTGTTTGACGGAGAGGAGGTGGGTGAAATACTTCTTGGCGCGCTTCCTCCCGGCAAAGTGAGTGAGGAAGCGCTGGGCGAGATCTTGCCATGAGTCAATGCTTCCCTCTGGCAGTCCGTTGAACCACTCGTACGCTGGCCCCTCGAGAGTAGAGAGGAACCAACGGCAGAGGTATTCGTCGGACGCGTTCACCATCAGCATGTTGTTTTGATAGCGGCTGAAGTGCTCCTGGGGGTCTGATCGGCCATCGTAGGACTTGATGGCGTTCCCCCTGTACTTCTCAGGGATGGGGGCCGAGAGGACCCTGTTGGTGAAAGGGGTCCTAGTCCTGACCTGGATGATGGGGTCACCCCGCCCTTCGGCCAGCTCCCTCTCCAGGGCGCTGACTTTGTTCATGAGCGCGTTGAGGCCGGGGTCGTTGGAGGCGCCGGCCGTAGGGATGTTGGCCGACTGCTTGGCCTCCATCTGAGCCAACCTCCTTTCCAGCTGGGCGATGACCTCGTCCCGGGGGTCTCTGTCGGCCGCGGCGGCACCCGGCTGGTTCCTCAGGCGCTCGTTGTGAGCCGCGTTGATCTGGTGACGCACGTCATCCTCGTGCAACTTTCCCTTGCCCTTGTCCGGGCGGGGCTGGTCCGCTGTCCGGGACACAGACCCCAAGCTTTCCCTTGGCGAGCCAGGACGAGGATCACCAATCCGTCCCGCCATCCTCTCCGAAACCGGACGACGGCGCGTGTCACCTAGCCTATTGAAGGCAGAGGCTTTACCACGCGCTGGGGTCTGCCCGGGCCGAAGAGGGGAAGCAGGGTGGGAGTGGGACGACGCCGTGTCCTGGGGAACCACCCCCTCATCGTTGCCTACCTGGATGGCCAACGGTTGGTGCTGAGGAGGTTGAGTGACGTTCCCCCCGGTCCTTGGCAAGAGTGCGCTGAGGACGGTGGGATTCTGAGCCAAGCTGGCGATGATAGCCGATAGTGCGGCCTGGACCTGAGGGTCTACGGACGGAGAGGCCGCGGCCATAGGCTGGGCCGGGGCGTGGTCCGCTTTCTCAGCTCGCTTCTTTTCCAGGCCGAGGCGGGCGTCGGGGACTCCGCCGTTGAGCTGGTTGCGGAGGTCCGTCGTGAGGTTGAAGGCCTCCTGGAAGAGGTCCCCTCCGCCGACCTGGTCGGCCGTGGCGTCCTCATCGTGCTCCCTGGGCTCTTGGTCCTCAGGGATGACTTTGCTGACAAGGTTGCGGTTTGACTTAGTTCTCCCCATGTTCAGTGGTTAGCTGTGCTTGGTAGCGACGAAGGGTGCTAACTTGATTGTTCTACCTCTCAAGGAGAGCACCAAATGATAGAGTATATCTAGAGAGAAGTGAGAGCTAGAGAGAGAAGTGCAATAATATGCTTCAATAGAATGAATTTGTAACCCCTATAACTACTCCCAAGGGGAGTATTTATAGAGAAAATTAGGGTTGGGCTCCCAAGCCTTGGGCTTGGGAGGCCCATTTACAACTGGACCGCTACTGGGCCGAATACAAAGCCTCTAATGAGCTGTACAAATGAGTAAGTATAGGACCCGATTCTGGGAGGTCTTCGTGGCCGATGAGGGCACGGCCGACGAGGGCACGGCCGACGATGGCATGGCCGACGAGGGCACGGCCGACGAGGGCACCCAAGTCCCTTAGACTCAGGACCGTAATCTGAGTTGGCACCTTTTCGGCCGACGGGGGCGTCATGGCCGACGAGGGCGCCACTCTGTTGTCTTGTGCTCTGTTCTTCCGAGTATGTGGGTCCTGAGGCTCAGACCCATATACTCCATCAGTAGGTTTTAGTACACTAGTTTCAAATTTCAGGTTTTGAAATTTCAGAATTAGTAATACAGTAACTTTCAGATTTTCAAGTATCATTCATTCATTTCAAAGCCCAGATTTCAGATTTCCCAATTAGGTTACTACTGTAAGTCTGCAAGTCAATTACAGTAGGTTAGCATTACAAAGCATTACAGTAGGTTAGTATTACAAAGCATTACAGTAGGTTTTAGTACACTAGTTTTCAAATTTCAGGTTTTGAAATTTCAGAACTAATAATACTTAAAATTTCAGAACTAATAACAGTAGGTCTTAGATTTTCAAGTATCATTTATTCATTTCAATGCCTAGATTTCAATTGCAAGCATCCCCATGAGTCTTTACTGTTAACACTTGTGTATTACTTAATACTTATATTCCCTCCTTATATGCATTGAATTGTATTAATCTTTTTATCAATTTGCTTAAATGTTATAAGAGTTCGTTTGCTTTAAAATATATTTTGTGTACAAGAGGCTATTTTGAAGTTGTCTGATGAATTTAATGAGCACATTCAGCAAACTCAACAATCTGAAGCTGAAATTGGGGGCTCCAAGAATGCATCTAAAGCTGCAGTTGCTGAATTGAATTCCAAATATTTGGAAATCGCTGGAGGAAGAAACAAAAAAGTATTCGGATTAGGAAAGTATGCAAAAGCTTTCCTTCAACAATTGGAATCAAAATACCGAAAAGCTTCCACATCTTCACAGCGTGCACATGAATTTTGTGTCTATTGGGATGAACACATGCGGAAGTGGTTATCTTCACAAGGCGAGGAATGCCCACCGGTAATGCCACTCGTGGATGAAAGCTTGCTAGATGAAGATCCTTGTTCACTCTCAAAAACTTTTGAGCAAACATGGCTTCCATTTCTGAAAACACTTGGAATGGATGCACCATGTTTTTTCCATTTTACTCCATCATCCTCTCAAGATTCTCAAAACACTTGAGTATTTGTTATTTCCAATTATATATCCAACTAGTATCCATATTATGAATTTAGTTGTATTTTTGGATTGTGGTATGACTTTACTTATGGTACTCACAATGAATGTTGGTTGTTAAAGTGTGTTTCTATAAAAGTTAAGTTTTTGTGGCTACATAACCAAATATATATATATATATATATATATATATATATATATTTAATTATGCATGCAGCACTTTGCACATTATTGAGATACAATCACATGTGTGGAGTACTCTATTATTATTATTTTTTAAATTAATGCCATATAAATATTCAATTGGAGCAAACTGAATGTTTTATTTTTATAAATATAATTAATTTAGTGACGATAAGTGCCCGCTTCGTCCCGGTCATCCTCTGGTTTGCGATGCTTTGTTTCATACCAAGCGTTGGTGCCTCAAAGGACTATGGCCGATGAAGGTCACCTCTCGCGTGTCACCCAACCGATGTGGTTAGGGTTTTATAGGCGTGCGTGTCGGCCCTGATAATTCCCTTGTAGTGTGTGGACGTGTCGTCCATGTTACCTGTCAGTGGTACTACACTCATGTTGTACTGATATGTACTTGTCCTAGTTGGGCCTGAGTTGTGGGGATTTTATTTTTTCATTGCTCGAGGCCGGCTAGTGTGCGCGGTCGTCGGCTTCCCTCTTTTTCCCCTTTTTTTTTCGTTTCGGGGGTATCCTTCTTTCAGGCTTCGGCCGAAGGGTGTGCTCGTCCTTCGGCCGGTTCGGACTTCGTTTATAACGTCCGTGATCTCAGGGCGGGTCCCGTCGCCTATTTATGACGCAGGCTAGACTTTTGGTCGGTTTCCAACGGCTGTCGTTGCCCATCCCTGAGTTTTGGGATTTTGTCACCTCGGCCATGATTTCAGGCCTGTCGTCCTGCGTTCTGGCGCGTGGACGACGCGGTGAGCTTCCCGTTTCAAGACGTGGGCCGTTTGCGGGCCCCTCGTCCTGGGGACATCGTCGGCCATACCTGAGCGTTTCACTTCTAGGCTTACGGGGCCAGGACGATGTGCTCTCTCAGCTAGGCCTGAGCCCTTCGCTGATACAAAATACAATGGAGTGCCTGAGCTTGTCGCTCGTAGGCTGCAAATGCAAGGGGCCATGTCGGCCAGACCTGAGCCTTTCGCTCTAAGGTGGCCGACGAGGGCACCTGCTAATGTTTTACTTTGAATTTCCAGAGAAAAAATCAGAACATGATTTTATTCATAAGTGGCTCGAGGCCGAGGGTGGCGTTCAATCAGGAACCCGTTAAGGGGTGAGGGCTTCGCCGTCTACACCTCCTTCGGATTACTGATAAAACTTCACCAGATGGTGTACATTCCATGTTCGCGGTACATTGGACCCATTCGGGCGTTTAAGCTTGTAGGTGTCGGGTTTGACCACGGCACTGACGATGTAGGGCCCTTCGTACTTCAATGCTAGCTTGCCACCCTCTGTCGGCTGGCTTGCTTCCCTTCGGCGGAGGACGTAGTCCCCCACCTGAAATTCCCGAGAACGTACCTTGGCGTCATAGTATGATTTTACTTGATGCCGGTAGTTCTCTGCTCGGACGTAAGCTTGCTCACGCCTCTCATCGACCAGGTGCAGGTCAATCTTCATGCTTTCCTCATTGCGTCAGGCTCGTACTGTTCCACCCGTCGGCTGGGGATGGTAACTTCTGTGGGTGCCTTAGCCTCGAAGCCATAGCATAGGGCGAAAGGCGTTTCACCTGTCGCCCTCCTCGGCGTGGTTCTATAGCACCACAGGATGTTGGGGAGCTCGTCGACCCAACTACCTCCTGCAGCCTGGAGGTTCTTCTTCAGCCCCTCCATGATTGTTCTGTTGGCGTTCTCGACCTGCCCGTTGCCCTGAGGGTAGGCAACGGAGGAGAAACGATGCTTCACCCCAAACTCCCAGAGGAGTTCTTGGAAAGGGGCCGCCTCGAATTGGGTGCCATTGTCTGATATGATCTCCTGGGGGACGCCAAAGCGTGTGATGATGTTCTTGTAAACAAATTTCTGGCATCTGGCCCCCGTGATGCTGGCCAAGGGCTCCGCCTCGACCCACTTGGTGAAGTACTCGACGACGACGATGATGTAGCGGTTATTCTCGGCGGCTCTGGGTAGGGGGCCGACCAGGTCAATCCCCCATCTGGAGAATGGAATTGCGGTGCTGACAGGGGCGTAGTTAACAGCTGGCCGACCAGGGGCCCTCTGGAGCACCTGGCATGTGGTGCACTTCCTGGCCAGGTCAGCGCAGTCGCGTGCCATCGTCGGCCAGAAGAAGTCCTGGACGATGAGACGCCGGGACATGCTGAAAGGGCCCTGGTGCGAGGAGCAGACGTCACAATGAACTTCTTCCATGGCTGTGTCGGCCTCGTCCTGGTGTAGGCATCGGAGGAGAGTGCCATTATAGGACCGTTTGTAGAGTTTGCCATCTTCTATGGTGTAGCTTGGGGCCCTGAGTTTGGCAAGTTTGGCCCTCTCCTCGTTCGGGGGCAGCTCCCCCGTGGTGATGAAGGTGGCGATGTCGGAGATCCAGTCCTCTGGTCGCTGTTGGACGCACAAGACGGGGCTGGCATGGATGCTGGACATGCTCAACTCCTCGATCTTGGCCAACTGGGAGATGTGCTCCGGGGTGTCCGAGCTGAGTTTGGAGAGGATGTCGGCTTCGGCGTTCTCGGCCCTTGGGATCTGAGTGATCTCATGGGTTTCAAACGCTTTCAGCAATTCCTCCGCCGCTTGTTTGTACTGCTTCATCCGGCCTTCCTTCGCTTCGTACGACCCCTCCACCTGGCCCACTACCAGTTTGGAGTCGCACTTGATTTTGAGGTGCTTGGCCTTGAGGCCGGCGGCGAGTCTGAGACCGCTGAGGAGGGCCTCATACTCGGCTTCGTTGTTGGATACCCTGAAGTTGAAGCGGATGGCATAGTAAGCTCTGAATCCTTCAGGGGATATGAGGACGACGCCGCCGCCGCATGATTTCGCGGCCGACGAGCCATCAGTGAACAGGGTCCACGTATCGTCCGGCTCCAGCCCGGAGTTGGCGACGGCCGTCTCCCTTGCTGTGCATTCGATGACGAAGTCGGCCAAGGCTTGCCCTTTGATAGATGGCCTTGGCTTGATTTCAATCTGAAACTGGGTGAGGAAGATCGCCCATTTCACCATCCTCGAGGAGCTAGTGGGGCTCCTCATGAGCGCGCCAAGAGGCTGCTGGGTCAGCACATGGACGGTGTGGGCTTGGAAATAGTGCCCCAGCTTCTTCACTGTGTGGACGATGGCCAACACCGTCTTCTCAATGGGGGAGTACCTGAGCTCGGCCTCCCTGAGTGTCTTGCTGATGTAGAAGATGGCCTTCTGCACCCCTTCGTCCTCACGGATGAGCACGGAGCTGATGGCCGACGTGCTCACCCCTAAGTACAAGAAGAGGGTTTCTCCGGCTTTGGGCTTGGAGAGCACAGGTGGGGACGACAGGTACCTTTTCAATTCGTCGAACGCCTCCTGGCACTCCGTTGTCCACTTGAAGCTGTTTGCCTTGCGCATGATCTGGAAGAAGGGGAGCGCCCTCTCGGCTGACCTGGAGAGGAACCGGTTTAAGGCCGCCAGGCGCCCCGTCAGTTGCTGAACCTCTTTGACGTTGCGGGGCGGCTCCATGTTGATGATAGCCTGCGTCTTCTCTGGGTTTATCTCGATGCCTCTCCGGCTGACCATGTAGCCGAGGAACTTGCCACCCTGGACGCCGAAGGCGCACTTCTTAGGGTTGAGCCGGAGCTTGAACTCCTTCATTATTTCAAAGATTTCCCGGAGGTCATCGGCGTGGGAGGTGGCCTGCCTGCTCTTGACGATCATGTCGTCGACGTACGCCTCCATCGTCCGGCCAAGGACCGCTCTGAAGATCTTGGCTACCATCCTAGTGTAGGTGGCGCCGGAGTTTTTGAGTCCGAAGGCCATGACGAGGTAGCAAAAGATTCCCTCTGGGGTCATGAATGCCGTCTTCTCGGCGTCATCTTCGTGCATGGAGATCTGGTGGTACCCTCTGAAAGCGTCGAGGAACGACATCAACTCGCACCCCGCCGTCTCGTCCACCAGCTGATCAATGTTGGGGAGAGGGAACGGGTCCATGGGGCACGCCTTGTTCAGGTCAGTGTAGTCAACACACATTCTGAACGTCGGCGGTTTCTGTGCGAGGACGACGTTGGCCAACCATGTTGGGTACTTCACCTCTTTGATATGTTTGATCGATAGGAGCATGGCGACCTCCCCTTTGACGAAGTCCCGCCTGTCAGCGGACAAGTAGCGCCGCTTCTGTTTGGCGGGCGCGGAGGCCAGATCGACGGTCAGCCGGTGAGTGATCACCTGGCGGCTGATGCCGGGCATATCGTCCGGGCCCCACGCGAAGACAACGGCGTATGACCGTAGGACGAGGAGGATGGCGTCTCGTTGGTCCTGGGGGAGTTGCTTGCCGACCCTGAGAACCCGCTCCGGCCGGGAGGTATCCAGAGGGATTTCCTCGACCTCCTCGGTCGGCTCCGCATGTGGCCTCTCCTCGTCCATGGCGACGGTGGCCGTAATGGTGTCTATCCTCTGTCCTTCCCTTTCGGCCGGCCTCGTTAGCTTGAGGTAGCAAGCTCTGGCTATCCTCTGATTTCCTCTGGCGTAGCCGATGCTGTCATTGGTGGGGAACTTCAAACATAAGTGCTTCATGGAGATGATGGCCTCCAAGTCCTCCAGCGCTGGCCGGCCCAAGATCAGGTTGTGGGCGCACTGGAGGTTGACCACCATGAACTCCATGTCAATTTTGGCGTGGTGGGGGCCGTCACCGACCTCCACGGGGTGGACTATCGTGCCCTCGGCGTCGATAGAGTCCCCGGTGAAGCCGGATAACGGGGTCTTGATCGGCTTCAGCAGAGCCCTGTCCAGCTTCAGCTACTTGAAGGTGTCCAAGTACATCACATTGACGGAGCTCCCCGTATCGATGTAAGTACGGTGGATGATGGAGTCCCCGATCTCACATCGGATGACGAGGGCGTCCCTGTGTGATTCCGTACCCGGAGGCAGATCCTTGTCGGTGAAGGTGATCGCCTCCGTTCGCTGCTTCTTCGGTTGGGGGGAACG